CACACACACACACACACACACACAGTTTACCTTAAGGAGCACAGTCAAATGCCTTTTCCAAGCCCACAAAACACATGTAGATTGAATGGGCAAACTCCCATGAGCCCTCAAGGACCCTACCTCAGCACTGCCCCTGATATCCATGCAATGTTGCAGTGGCGTGTGAACCAAGACAGCCCAACAACACCCAAAGTCTTGAAAAACTTGGGGTGGATCTCATCAACCCCGGAGTTTTGCAGTGCCAGAACTTTTGGACTACCTTGGTGACTTCAGCACCAGTTACGTATGGACCAACCACCAAGTCCCCCGACAGTGTCCTCTATGGAAGACGTGCTGGTGGGATTGAGGCTTATTCCTTCTACTGCCTGACAACATCACTGGTTGAGGTCAACAGCATCCCACCCCAGACAGTGTTGACCATTTAGTTCTACAAATATAAATACTTGAAGATACACAAACTCATTTTAATAACATTTTAGTAATGCATAATAACGAAGATAAATAATGTTTGGTGAGACAAACCTTCATCCTGGCTGACATTATTTCAAAAGTTATGATATCATTATACAGTAGAATAGTGTGAGTATGATTAAAATATTGTGTGTAATCTTATACATTTTAGGAACACCAATGGTTTGCATTAAAGTAAGCTTTAAGATTTGATGTTAAATTGTCAAACTGCCAGCAGGGGAAATTTGGTTAAGAAACACAAAAATGCAAAGCTGCCTAATTATCACAGCTACATTCTCAAATGTTCATAGGTTTAAATAGTCAAAGGTTTTATTTGGATAATTACAGTCATACATGTACCATGAAATAGGCAGGTGTTTACTTAGTATGTTACCATGGCAGAAAACCATATCCATAACCCACTATGTCTGGATTGTTTGAGGTTATCTCAACTGTCTGTCACTGGAAGGTAATAACTAGGCTAAATGCTTCACATCCCTAGGCAAATGATCAGCTTTCTGGTTAATGCTAGGCAAATCATTATAATCCTCTAATATGGGAAGAGACGGACAGGGAGATGGGCTCACTTTCAACAGGTATTAACATTCCTCAAAACAATACATGAAAACTTATTTTGTTTTAAATCACTTTCCCCCATTTTTCCTTTTTATAATTGAGAGTGTTGAGTGCTGTGTTCAATGCTCACCATCCTGTGCAGAGTAAATGATGGCTGTAAGGCTGTAAGGTCCCTCTCCCTGGCTGTTGTACGCTTTCACTTTTACTTCAAACTCTGTCAAAGGAGGAATGGTGGGGTCTTTGTGGACATAATGCTTGGCTCCAGGATCAGCTACTGCCACCCTTTTCCACTCAAATTCCTCACGAGGTTTAAAGGCCACAATATAGCCAAAGTTGGTCCCATAGTAGTACTGAGGCTGTACTGGCTGAAAACAAATGAAGAAAAAACTATAAGCGTATTGTCAAAATCAGGCTTGGAATTTCTGATTCGACATGGACTGTCACATTAAAATATAGCAATACTTTAAACAAAAGACCCTGGACAAAACCCATCATCAAAAAAACTCTGATTTGGAGATTCACAAGATATTTTGCTAACAAACAAATATGGTTGATTCCAACAGATTATGCCAAAGTTTCAAACAAACATCTCATGATTTATTAAGGCTTAATATGTTGAGAACACCTCTCAGCTACTGTCACAGTAAGGTTTAGCTCAGTGCCTGTACAAGTTAATTGTAGCCGTTTTACTTTATTTATATTATTTTAGGTCGATTAGCTGTGACGCTCATCTTGAATCGAACTGGCTCCAAAAGTTGAACAACTGTAACTGTGCATCCAATAATTACTTTCTGTGAGTTTAATTAAAATCCATCTAATGGTTCATGACATAGTTTTCTAAAAAACACAAATGCTTCCACACAATCAGACAATTTTATGATTGCCTGTCTTTAGTGGCAGTGAGTGATGATATAGATATACTGTGTCTGTCATGACATTTATTTTTAGGGACAATGCTGTCCTTAAGAGCAATTCTATTTATCGCTGTTTATATCGTCTGCAGTACCATACTCATGGAATACTCATAGAAAGGATAAATTGATATCTATAGTTCATACAAGGTCTACTGTATGTCACTATCTTTTTCCCCAGTTTCTCCCTGTAGGCAGTAAAATTCATATTACAGCCATTCAACAAAATGAAAAACTGTGTCTGATTTGCAACTGACTTGTAATCTATCTCCCCACTTTGTGAGGTGGAACACTCCAGCCTACCGTCCAAGTGATGGTCAGTTCTCTGCTGGTTCCTCCACCCCCACCAACATCTGAGGGCGCCACCACAGGAACTGCAAAGAGACAGCAACAGCAAAAACCATGACCCCACTTGCTATGAATCTACACAAACAAGGCCAATGCACACAGGCTGTAACTTTGTCCTGGCTAACGCGACTGAAACGTCCTTTCCTCTGAAAACATAGTATTAATGTCTTCTCCTGCGCCAAACTCCAACTTTTAATATGTGTAGGAAACTTACCAGCCAGAGAGGCAGACAGGGAAAAGGTTTTCTTATTCAAGCTCACCTCCAACGGGTGATTGGTTTTTTTTGTTAGTTTTTTTTACGGGGTCACTGGAGGTCTGCGATCCACATTTCATAGATGAATTTCCGTGTCCAGTTTCACCAACATGCTTATTTGCAGTGGTTTGTGTGGTGAGTTTGGCAGCATGTTTCTGCTGTTTGAAAGCAAAGCTCATAAAGAACCCTGCTGACTCATTTCTACAGCGATACACTTCGTATGCAAACAGTGCAATAATAGCTGGACTGTGAGCACATTAATTTTCCTTCTTTTCTATGACTTTTCAAGCCCTGCTTTTCTGTTCTATTGGGGATGAATAGAGTAATCAGACCCAACAACAGGACACATTTTTTTACCTGATTCCAGAGTTCTGTCTTTTGGTGATGGCCTGCTTGGATCTCCTGTCCCCAGAGTGTTGGTGGCAATAACCCTGAACTCATATTCTGTCCAGGGGAACAAATTGACCACAGTGGCTGTCTCTGCGTTCCCTTCAACATCAGCTGGAGCTGCAGGAAAACACCAGTGTTATGTGTTTAATGTTAAGTTTAATTTTCTGAGGCATGCTTTAATTATATTAGAGCTATCATTCTTCAAAAGACAAGTATCTTTGCACTGCATGACAAAAGTAGTTTTGCCTTAGCAGTTAGTTAGCATAGTGTATTTGATGAGCTTGCAGGGGGTTCCTACATGTTGTGGCAGTCTTCCAGACTTCTTTGGAGAACTGGTCTATGTACTGGATGGTATATTTGGAGATCGGACTGTGATGGTCTGCTCCACGGCTCCACTGCAGTGTCACACTCTTGTCAGTTTTGTTTAATATTCGTACTCCACCTGGGGAACCTGGAGGGCCTGCGATGGGAAAATAAAAAGACAAGTTTTAATTCAGTAGATAAAGAATACAGTAGAGGAGAGTACTACTCAAGTTTACATTTTTAAAGTCACTTTGTTTTAATGTGAATCATAGGCTTGTGCACAAATTGCACAAAAAAAAGAGCTTGAAAGATTTTCAGTCTCAGGGAAATTTTCAGCAAAGATTTACAAGCAGTTTAAAAACGAGTCTTAGAATAAACTGCTTACAAAACAAACATCACATCCCAACCCCGATTTTTCCTTTTTGCAGCATCTTCTTTTGAAAGATCTCAGCAAAGACAGATATATTGGGAAACCAGAGCTTACTGTGTAATAAAATTAATAAAAACAAAACAACTAAAGGTTAACTGAACATATTTCCAGTGTTTCTCTTGGTCCCCATTCTCTCCTTGATTCTTCTGTTGGAACAGAAACGAGGCTTAATAGAAAACTCAGAGTGTGTCAGGGTTTCCCTCCCAACCACAGTCAGAAAGCAGCTAGAGGTCACTTTTTCCAAATTATAAGCACAAACCGTTAGATGTAAAATGTAACATTCAGCTTTTTAAGAGATGGTTCAGATCTTTTGAAGAGTGGTTGTATAAAACAAGTTGTTTTTTGTTGTTGTTTTTTATAATAATAATATATTTTTTATAATATTTTACCTGTTATAAATAGCTTTTTCAGCTATCTCAGTATGGAAAACAGAGATTATTTCTGACTGGACAGTTGAGCTAAGGGTTAGTTTGAGGGAGGTCAAGACCCAATGGAATGCTGCCATCCCCCCCCCCCCCCCCCCCCCCCTTTTTTTGTCCTGTCCAGCATTGTGACACTTAGAATTATTGTCTGGGTGTCAAAGTGATGCCCAACAGATTTACTTTCACAAGCAGAGCATTATGGCTGGCCTCATTGCTCCCCTTGATATGAAAATTAAATTTTATTAGAATTTGCTATGGGCTTGTTTCAGATGTAATGGACATGGGGATGAAAAACAAAGAAGATGACAAAGCAGAAAAGAGAGAGAAGAGTTGAAAGGTAAAGAAGGAGATAGGAATAGAGAAGAGAGAGAGAGAGAGAGGGATAAAGAGAACACAAATCAACATCATTGAAGTCTGACTCTAGACCTGCGGAAAAAAAAGACAAGACAAAACCGAGAAACCACAACAACAAACAACATATAATGATTATTATAACATCATTAGAAAGTATTTTATACAGTACATGGTAATACAATATATATTTGATGGCCACCACAACCCAACTGAGTGTGTATCTGATAAACACCTGAATCTAAACACCTGTGTGAACATGCTTATCACTATAAGGTTTCTCCATAAAAATGTTCAATAGTGGATGTGGGGATCCACAGACTCATCCCCACAGGACATGAAGGTAACACAGGGAAGACCAGAACCACAGACACACAGCGGCCCCCAAGCCTGGAACTCCAGGAGTCCCCCAACAGGGATACCCACACCCCCCAGAGAGAGAAGTAAAGGGAAGCCCTGGGTGATCCCCAGCCACTACAACGCAGAAACCCCAGGAGGTTGTAGCGACGAGTCCACAGGCCCCGCCGGCAACCCGCCCCTCCAGAGTAAATCCGGCCATGGACACCAAGCCCCGAGTCCCGAGGTCATACCACCCCCCAACAGAGGCCCGACAGAGCCAGGGCACCCAGGCACCAACAGGCAGCCACCAGGGTGTGCCCACACACACCCCACTACCCAGCCCCAGCTGCTGAGAGCCGCCAATGCACCAGCAGCAGGGGGGTCCACCACCGGAGGAGAGCACAACACTGCCATCTTAGAATAACTATAATCTCCAACGTTTTAGAGCAGTTCATATAAAAGTTATTTTTAAAATTCTGCAAGCAATCAATTGTGCATTCCATAGTTATTTTAGCTGTTATGTCATATACCAGCTGAAATATTATCCATCCATCCATTATCTTTACCCGCTTAATCCATTTTGGGTCACGGGGGTCGCCGGTGCCCATGTCCAGCAATCACTGTACGAGAGGCAGGGGACACCTGGACAGGTCTCCAGTCCATCACAGGGACACAGAGACAAACGAGACAAACATCATTCACTCTCTCACTCACACCTAGAGACAATTTAGAGTTACCAATCAGATTAACTTGCATGTTCTTGGTCTGTGGGAGGAAAGGCACGCATGAACAGAGACAACATGCAAACTCCACCCGGAATGGCTCCCCAGCCTGGATTTGAACCGGTGACCTGCTCGCTGAGAGACGTCAGCTCTTCCAACTGCTTTACATCGCGGCCCGGGGGAAAAAAAAAATTTAATTAATTAAAACAATGTAGTGTAGTGTGGCATGTTATGTTCCCCGTATAATGGAATAAAGTTTTATTTAGATATAAAAAGAAAAAAACTTATTTTATACTATAAAAATTATCAATATTTTTCTTGTCTGCGCATCTTCATTTATTCAGATTCCAGTACAATAAAAAGCCAGCCTGTACTCTTACCCACCATGTGTCACATAAAAAGCATGCCTCTAACTTAGCCTGCCAGTAACAGCTAGCTTCAGGTGCAGAGCAGTGTTTTTAAAACAGCCTCCTGGTACAGATCCACTTCCTCATCCACCATGATAAATGCTTGTCTTTCATTGCTGCTGGCAAAAGACACTCCATTAGGATCAGCCCGAGACGTGTGCTTTGGTTACACTTTGGGACACATCACGCTCTCAGAGACGGTGCGTTCACCTGGCCATCTGTCAGCAGCTGCTCTGAAAGCATCAGCACAGCCAGGATCTAACACGGATCATCGGCAACCAGATCGCTGCCAGAATTCCTGAGTGTCGATCTGAAAAAGGCCTTTGTGCAACCAACACTGAGTCTGTTTCATGAGCAGAGGAGAGGGCTGTGAGACCAGCTCGCAGTCATTAAGAAGTGAAAAGAGAAAACAATGTTTGATGAACCCTACAGGAGGAGAAACGCACTGAAAGAGAGACAAAGCTCTGAAGAGAGGCACTTTCCTCTGGGTGAGCCCAAGTGCTGAAATCAGCAGCTGTATGAGATCAAAATCTCTGACTCATCACATGGAGTTACACTCGATCCACTCATAATAATGCCAGATGGTACTATTCACATGTTTTACAGAAACGGAAGCATTTAGTTCAGTCAGCTACTGTGACTATGAGCTTGCTTCAAAACAAATCACACAAACTGTGACTGTGACAAACTGTTTATTTTCCAGATGGAAGTCCCAGGTCTTTAGAAGAAATTTTAATATGTTAACACTTAGCAACAAAACGAAATGCAATAAAAATGCACCACTAGATTTATTGTCATGTGTTATTACTCTTTTATATGTTTATGGAAATGATATTAATCTTCTGGAGTAGGTTTGATACACTGAGTCTGGCTTTTCATGGAGGTTCTTGTCACAGTCAACTCTGTTGTGGCTAACTCCACGTTTTATTTGCTGCACATGTAAAGTTTTACTTGATAAAAAATATTTTTTTGTGTAATCAATCAGTCTTGATCGTTTGTGTCAGAGGGAAAGCAAAATCTAAAGGCAAGAATTTTGCTATGCTATGTGACAAACTTCGAACGTCATTCACATGAGAGCTTTTAAAATGTTTCGAAATGTTCACATGGGTTTGTAACTGCTGTGTGGGTGACAAGGTGTAAGGAACTCTCGTGAGGGTTTGGACCAAGATCACAACACAACAG